GCCACCAGCCTGGTGAGCAGGTTACTGCATGGCAACTCTGATGTCTGGGGAGTGGGGCCAACAGTCAGGAACTGGTAGGTAAGGAAGCCAAACAGCTGGGATCCCTCAACAGCTGATCACCCAGGAATTGACAGTGGACTTGGAAAAGAAGCTGTGAATTGCAGTGCCTGGAGGTGTGTGCTGTCAAGTGTGAGGGCAAGATATCTGTTCAAGATCTTGTGGTTGAGCAAGGAAGGTGAACCAAGGCTTAGAGAGGTATAAAGTACCTGAGAGGATTAGTTGTGATGGAAGTCACCTGATGACAAGGAGGTCTTGTCCAGAATCATAGAATTATAGAATCCTTAGGGTTGGAAAGGACCTTAGGATCATCTAGTTACAACCCCTCTGCCATGGGCAGGGACACCTTATGCTAAATCATATCACCCAAGGCCGTGTCCACCCTGGCCTTGAACACTGCCAGGGATGGAGCATTCACAACCTCCCTGGGCAACCCATTCCAGTGCCTCACCACCCTAACAGGAAAGAATTTGCTCCTTATATCCAACCTAAACTTCCCCTGTTTAAGTTTTAACCCATTACCCTTTGTCCTGTCACTACAGTCTCTAATGAAGAGTCCCTCTCCAGCATCCCTATAGGCCCCCTTCAGATAATGGAAGGCTGCTATGAGGTCTCCACGCAGCCTTCTCTTCTCCAGGCTGAACAGCCCCAACTTCCTCAGCCTGTCTTCATACAGGAGGTGCTCCAGTCCCCTGATCATCCTCGTGGCCCTTCTCTGGACTTGTTCCAACAGTTCCATGCCCTTTTTATGTTGAGGACACCAGAACTGCACACAATGCTCCAGGTGAGGTCTCACAAGAGCAGAGTAGACGGGCAGGATCACCTCCTTTGACCTGCTGGTCACGCTCCTTTTGATGCAGCCCAGGATATGGTTGGCTTTCTGGGCTGCAAGCGCACACTGCTGGCTCATGTTCATTTTCTCATCAACCAACACCCCCAAGTTCTTCTCTGCAGGGCTGCTCTGAATCTCTTCTCTGCCCAACCTGCAACTGTGCCTGGGATTGCTCCCACCCAGGTGTAGGACCTTGCACTTGGCATGGTTAAACTCCATGAGGTTGGCATCAGTCCACCTCACAAGTGTGTCGAGGTCCCTCTGGATGGCATTCCTTCCCTCCAGCGTATCAACCGAACCACACAGCTTGGTGTCATTGGCAAAATTGCTGAGGGCGCACTCAATCCCACTGTTCATGTCAGCGACAATGATGTTAAACAAGACCGGTCCCAACACTGATCCCCGAGGGACACCACTCGTTACTGATCTCCAGCCGGACACTGAGCCATTGACCACAACTCTTTGTGTGCGGCCATCCAGCCAGTTCTTTATCCACCTAGTGGTCCATCCATCAAATTGATGTCACTCCAATTTAGAGACAAGGATGTTGTGTGCGACAGTGTCGAACGCTTTGCACGGGTCCAGGTAGATGACATCAACTGCTCTACCCCTGTCCATCAGTTCTGTAGCCCCATCATAGAAGGCCACCAAATTGGTCAGGCAGGATTTCCCCTTAGTGAAGCCATGCTGGCTGTCACCAAGCACCTTGTTGTTTTTCATGTGCCTTAGCATGCCTTCCAGGAGAATCTGCTCCAAGATGTTGCCAGGCACAGAGGTGAGACTGACTGGTCTGTAATTCCCTGGGTCATACATTTTCCCTTTCTTGAAAATGGGAATTTCCCTTTTTCCAGTCATCAGGAACTTCACCTGACTGCCATGATTTCTCAAATATGATGGCCAGCAGTTTCGCAACTTCATTTGCCAGCTCCTTCAGGACCCGCGGATGGATCTCACCAGGACCCATGGACTTGTGCACGTTCAGATTTTTAAGATGGTCTCGAACCAGCTCCTCTCCTACAGTGGGCACAAGGTCTTCATTCTCACAGTCCCTGCATCTGCCTTCCAAGACTTGGATGGTTTGGTCAGAGCCTTTGCCAGTGAAGACGGAGGCAAAGAAGTCATTCAGAACCTCAGCCTTCTCCAAATCCCGTGCAGCCAGTTCTCCTGAGAGCTTCCTGAGGGGGCCTACATTCTCCCTAGTCTGTTTTTTATTTGCTATGTACCTGTAGAATCCCTTCCTGTTATCTATAATACCTCTAGCTAAGTTTAATTCTAACTGAGCCTTAGCTTTCCTAACCTGGTCCCTAGCTTCTCAGACAACATCCCTGTACTATTCCCATGCCACCTGTCCTTGCTTCCACTTATTATAAGCCTCTTTTTTCAATTGAATTTTCCTCAGGAGCTCCTTATCCATCCAAGGAGGACTCCTGGCCCTCCTGCTGCACTTCCTTCCGGTTGGGATACAACACGCCTGAGTTTGCAGCAGAATGAAACAGTGCTGTATTCTAACAGCTTGGCAGCAATGTATTGCCTGGATTTGGATACACCTGTGGTGAAGAGAGCATCTTCCTGTCTGAAATTCTGAAGACAATGCCTCTCCCTCCTCTCAGTGTAGTTGCAGTTTGGTTACCCCATCACGTGGGGCAAAACAAAAGAAGTGATTGAGAAAGGCCAAAGAATAATTCTGATTCTTCTGCAAGGTGTATTTGCCATGAAATCAAGCAAGGTCAAAACTGCACAGGAAATGCTTTTCTTGGGATCTTGGCATCTGCATGAAAAAGGATGACACAAATTCACAGGTTGGGATGCAGCAGAACTTTAATGAGTCAAAACAGGGAAACAAGGACACTGTGAGTGGAGATCCTGGTGCAGGGAGCACCGAAGGCAGAAAGGAGTCGGCATCCCCAGTGCGGTGCCATCTTCTGGGTCCCTGGGCCCTTCCCCAGGGCCATTGCCAGCAGCTTTAGCATGGGAGGCACCTCCTGCCGCAGTAGCGGCCGCCAAAGCCGGAGAGGCCCAAGCCGGAGAGGCCAAAGCCCCCGGAGTTGATGGGCACTCCCTCGGAGCTGAGGATGCTGCCAACGGCAGCAGAGGTGGAGGAGCCCACGGCGGTGTTCTGCGGGAAGGAGCTGAGGATGGGGCCGGGCAGGGTCACCACCACGGGGGAGGGCTGGATGACGACATTGGAGTCCTGGCACTGCCTGACACAGGGCTCATTGCAGCTGTTGGCCAGCGGGGTCGGGCCGCAGGGCTGGCAGGGCACACACGGGCTGTAGCAGGACATGTCTGGATGCGAGAGCTTCACCTGGAGACAGGGCAATGACACGGGTTAGAAGCAGTCTCTCACACCACTGTGAGGGATCCCAGGCATGATGCTGGTTTGGAGCATTAATGGTGTTCATAGGAGGAAAGAAAGGAAGATAAAGAGCTTCAGACTCACCTGATCCTTTAGGATAGAGAGGTGAGAGAAGTGGATGTCCAACTGGGTATTTGCACTGGCTTTTATAGTGCTCCAGCTTTGCCCCAGGCATGTAGTCATGCTCTATACAGGCAGTAATTTTCCAGCAGTCTCTAATTGAAGACATTCAAGTCAAGGATCATCCAAGCCCAGGATCTTTTGCTGTCCAGAGTTCAGTTCTTTCATACTGTGATTTATTCCATGGCCATTTGCCTTTGAGAGTTCTTTCAAGTTCTGAGATGAGAAACCCAAAGATTTTCAGGTCAGGAATGCATCATTATGGGCTGAAGACCTGACCCATTTTCTGGATATAGACACAGTGGAGTTGTTCATCACCCTGTTCAAAATAAGGGGTCTGGCATTTCTCAATGATCACTGGTGAGTGGGCTCCACTGCTCGTTTTGAACCTCCTCCTCCTGATGATCTTGCTTTGATGACAAATCTGCCATCTGTTTTGCCATTTCCACTCTCTGTCCAATTTCTTGGTGTCTCCAATCAATGCCTTCAGCATATTAGGGTTATTTCTCTGTGCAGTCTATGTACAAACAACATCTGTGTAACTTCACTTATACGTATGCACGCTTGTATGTCTTCTCATTTTTCTGTATTCATTTTTGTATCAAAAGAATTGGTTTTCCCTAAAACCTGTGTATATATGCATTTTTAAGTGTGCACAAGCACAGAGGTGTGCATGAGCACATGCCTGTGTCTCCCTGTGTATGTGTCTTCTTCATGAGGAGATGTCCTGGTCATGCCGGGGGCACTCTTTGTTCTTCTGTACATGCACACCACAGAGCAATAGGTTCCACAGGCCAAAAGGAGGCAAGTGGCAGCTGAAGAGCAATGGCATGGACCTGGTGGAGATCTGGCCTGGGTGCTAGTACTGAGACCCTGCCTCCTGAGCATTCCTTTTCATACTCCTTCAAAACTCTCACTCTGCTACTGCAGATCTCAGAGCCTCACAAGGACAGTTTCACACCAACTTGGAAACACAATTTAAATAAGTGTACCAACATTCAAAGTGTCTTAGCACTTCTCCAGGTCAGGATACATCTCCTCCTCTCAGTGTTAAGGAGTTCAAAGCAACAGGGTTAGCTTTCTGTACAGGGAAAAAAGCCAGAAAATCCTCCACACTTCATGAAAGCCACTCCTGAGTGAACCTGTTTCTTTTGCAGTATTAACAGTGTTTGAGAAGGGACACAGGCTCCTCATGTTCAAGTCAAAGCCATGGCCACCGCTGCAGCTAATTGACCTGACACTGCGTTGGGCAGAGACATTGAATCACTACCAAACATAAGGACAGATGACCTGGTGTCCCTATGCTTTAGAGGAAGGACAGTTGGTCCAGGCTGCAAAGGGAGAGGCAAACAGCTGACAACTCATTTGGTCTTCAATCACACAGAGCTTCTGTGTCCCACACTGAAGTCCTATTCTGCCAGGAACTGCCTGGAAGGGAAGGATTGTCTGATTCATCACCACACTCTCCAAACACTGCTGCTACCCCTATGAGGAGTGTCAGGATGAGAACTCCCTCAGAGACTGTTGTCAGTGAAAGAAAAGGCACTGCAGAAGAGGGGAAATGTTCTCTCTATTGAAAACTGCTTCTGCAAGAAACTTTGCATTTCACTTTGGGCTGTTCCTCTCTTAACTTGCTTCCTCTCTTGCAGCCAGGCTTTTCGACCTCTCTAATCACTGTACAGTGGTTCTTCCTAATAGCAATGGAGTGTGCAAAAGCAGAGACAAATTCTCTGCCTGCAACTGCATCCTCTCTTATCCTATCCCATCCTCCATGGCCCCTCAATACCACTAGTGACATTTCTGCACACACCTTGACACAGCTAAGAAGCATTGGCTCTGGGATGCGGAGAGGATCAAAGAGGCAGGTTCTCACTCTGCTGATTCTATTTCCAAGACATTTTAGCCAGTACCCAAGTTACGGAAGTGGGAATTCTGTGACTTCTGGGTGCTACAGCCACCTAGATGTGCAGGCTGGCTTGCACACCTAGAGGAGAGAAGGCCAAGAAAGGGGAAAAATTTCTCCTCAAACTAAGCAACATAAGGAGAAAGAGGGCTGAAACCAGAAGCATGGCCCACCAGCCTGAGGAGTGAGCTGTCAGTCTGAACTGACTGTCAGAGTGAGCTGGGGTAGAGGGATAGAGAACGACAGAGCAAGTCCTTCTGCACGGGAACCTATGTGTAGACAACTGGGGACTGCAACACTTGGAGTACCTGTCACCCTTCCTGAAAAAAGAGTTACAAGAGAGCCCACCAAGGAACCCCAAGCTGGGGTCCCCTGGCTGCATGGGACATCTTCAGCACTTGAGTGCTGTCCCCAACACTGCTGCATTCCTGCCCTGGAAGTGCTTGACCCTCTCATTCCAGCATTTGGTAGGAGCATCTCTGGCACAAAGGGCATGCCAGAAATGAGGAAATAAAGAGGAGTCAAAGAAGGAAACCAAATTACAAGCTGTGTGATTAGGAAGAATACTTTCCATTAAAGATGAGTCTGTTGGAAAATTACTGCCTGCGCAGAGGCAGCCTCAGGGCCAGGGCGGTGCAAGAGCAGTATAAAAGTAACCCCAAAGCCTTGTTCTCTCATCCACTTCTCTTGCTCTCCTCTCCTTGGGACCCAGGTGAGTCTAGAGCCCTTTCTGCTTCTCATCCTTCCACAGGCTGAGGCCTCAGACCAACATACACATCAGCAAATGCCTGCTCCATCATGCCACAGCAGGACTTGGAGGTCATTGCCATAGAAGAAAGACGGAGGAAGAAGGTCTAGCACAGAGAAGTCTGGGTCTTGGCTGATGTGCATTCTGAGCTATGGGCTAGGTGGCACCCCTCTGGGCTCGGCCACTCTTGATGGGGCACTTTTGGGCTGAGGGGAAGTTGAAGTCCATGGGTGTACCTACAAAACCTCCAGCTCTTGTCTCAAAATTGGCTTGCCTTGAATTCCTTGTGGTGGTGTGAGAGACTGCTCCTGACCCATGTCCCTGCTCTTTTTCCCCCTGCTCTATTTCCCAGGTGAAGCTCTCGCATCCAGACATGTCCTGCTACAGCCCGTGCGTGCCCTGCCAGCCCTGTGGCCCAACCCCACTGGCCAACAGCTGCAATGAGCCCTGTGTCAGGCAGTGCCAGGACTCCATTGTTGCCATCCAGCCCTCCCCCGTGGTGGTGACCCTGCCTGGCCCCATCCTCACCTCCTTCCCACAGAACACTGTTGTGGGCTCCTCCACCTCCGCTGCCGTTGGCAGCATCCTCAGCTCCGAGGGAGTGCCCATCAACTCCGGGGGCTTTGGCCTCTCCGGCTTGGGCCTCTCCGGCTTGGGCGGCCGCTACTGCGGCAGGAGGTCTTTCCCCTGCTAAAGCTGCTGGCGATGGCCCTGGGGAAGGGCCCAGGGACCCAGAAGATGGCACCGCACTGGGGACAGGGCCTTGGGTTGTTGCTTCCAGAGCAGCTGAGCAACCCCAGCACCACTTGCACAAGGACGGGGCCAGCCTTGTGCTCTCACACAGCATGGCCCATGCTGCTTTTTCCCTCTGCCACTCTTTCTCCCCACAGCCGTGGGGGGCAGACTCCTCTCTGCCCCTGATGCTCCCTGCACCAGGATCTCCACTCACTGTGTCCTTGTCTCCCATTTTTGCCTCATTAAATATCTGCTGCATCCCAGGCCTCTCTGTCATCCTTTGCCCTACAGACCATCTCCCAAGATGCCCAGTGAGATAGATGTTCTCAGGGCTGGCTCTGGGAGGGAGTTTTCGGGGATGGTTGTGCTATAGTTGTTAACAGAATGACTGTTACCTGCCACTGCATGGTCCTTCCCTCTGTTGACACTCCAGACACCCACAGTAGGAACTGTGGGTGTTTCTTCAAGGTTATTAGTTGGTGTGGGGGGGAGCACATGGAGAGCCTTCACTCTCCCCAAAAGAAGGGAGGGTTGGACACTCTGCAGTGGGCCCTCTTCAGGCACTGTCACTTGCAGGTGAGAGAGGCATCCATGACTCCTCCAGAGTCCCTGGCCATCAGGCCTAGCTTTGTTGAGCCTTTGCCCAAAAATGGCCTCTTGGGCTTGGCGCAAATGCTGCAGAAGGGGTGTGTGGCAACTCCAAAGCTTGGTTGAGGAGCCTGGGCTGTGGAAGGCCTTGGGAGGGCAACAACCCAACAGGGACTTGAGAAGTGGATGTTGCTTTACTGGGTGGGGAGCAAAGGCTCAGGTAGAAAATGCTCCCAGAGAATAGCAGGAGTAAGAATGAGGTGATTCAGCTCACAATGCATGTCAGCATCCTACTGCCATCTCTGCTGTGGGTTTCCTGAGGAAAGTCTCTGGAGAGAGGCAGGCAGTTGTGGGCAGTCATTCTTTAAGATGAGTTACAAAGTTCTCTAAAGCAGTGCTGTCACTATTAGGAAAGACTGCACAGAAGGTTGCAGCTGAGGAAGGGGGCTGCTGAATTGCTTCAGGACATTCCTGAGCATGATGCAACCTCCCAGAGCCCTAATCAGCAGCAGAGACACTGGCAGGTTTCTCTACACACTTCTGCGAGCCCTTTGCTAGCAAAAGCTCAAATGCAAGTCAGGAAAATTAGTTCTGCTGGAGAACAACAATATAAACGTGTTCTCCACTGGGGAGATCATCCCATTGGAAGATGAGCTTGCTGTTGGGCAGGGGCTAATCAGTCTAAAGAGGGAACAGACACACATGGCTCAGCTTCCTTGCCAAAGAAGATGGCCATGGTCATGATGCCTTTTGAATTCACAACATGTAGCCCTGAATTTGGCACAGTCTTTACCACCACGGTTGGAGAGCAGTACACAGTATTCAGCACTTCAAACACTGCTGACAGACTGTCAGCAAGTGAGGAGCTGCTTTCCTTCCGCTTGATTTTGCTTCAAGAAAAACGAGGTGAAGATCATATGTGGAAACAAGAAAGCAGAAGGCAAGGCAAGATGCACTGCTGCTCAGGGTGAGCTCTGCAGAAGCTATGTGTCATGTGCCCCATGCCCTGTCACCATTGCCCACCCTTGTATCAGCAATGTCCACTTTAGATCCTGCAGCCCAACAGACAGCTCAGGACGGGCATCTAAGACACATGTCAATCACTCCCTGGCTGGGGAACACTCTGGAAATGGGGATGCAAAGGGTCATTCCTGTGTATAAACCCTTGGGTTTACATAATGGTCAGAGCTGGGTTATGATCTGCATTAGTGCACATGAGAAATACTCCACTACAAGATCATGCATGCAGGGAGACATCTCAGTCCTTTGACAGATTTAGCCCATCTCAGGCTCCTGGAAACAATTCAAGGTTCTACATAGTTTTGCATATAGAAGGACATGCACAGGCAAGCCTCTGTCTGTGGTTGAGAATGTCTGTCACTAATATCTCCACTCAAGCCTTCACTGCTCCCCTGGTGTCCTGTTACGACTCTATAAACATACTACCACTTGTATCTGAAGATGATTCTGCTGCTGTTACTACCAGAGAACATAGGTAATGTCTTCAGTTACCTCCTGAAATGAAACCAGGCAGGGCCAGCAAACCATGCACTTGCCAGCCTGCAGTGGAGACCTCAAAGCAGCTTCCAGTGTCTGAAGGGGGCTACCAGGATGCTGGAAAGGGACTCTTCATCAGGGCTTGTAGTGATAGGACAAGGGCTGATGGGTTCAAACTGAAACAGGGGAAGTTCAGTTAGATACAAGGAAGAAGTTCTCTACCCTGAGGGTGCTGAGGCGCTGGCACAGGGTGCCCAGAGAAGCTGTGGCTGCCCCATCCCTGGCAGTGTTCAAGGCCAGGTTGGACACAGGGGCTTGGAGCAAGCTGCTCTAGTGGAAGGGGTCCCTGCCCATGGCAGGGGTTGGAGCTGGGTGAGCTTTAAGGTCCTTTTCAACCCAAACCATTCCATGCTCTGACTCCAAACTGAAGGGATGTGCACCGTGGTTTGCAGATCCAGATCCCTACATCACCAACCTTCTGCTTCAAAACAAAACCATTTCTGCATTCACTGAACATGTATTTTTTGGCTGCAAAATGAGGCAATCGTGAGGCAGAAGCAAGTGCTTTTAAAGCCGGCAATGTGGGAAGAGGAAGCAGCAGGGATCTCTGCTTTCACTTGACAGAAAAACCTCTGTTTTTTATCACCTGTACCGCCTGTGCCTGTGAGTAGGGTATAAAAACGCGGCCTTCGTTTAAAGCTGTCTCTTTGCTCAGAGCCTTTGAGGCAGGAGACCTCTGCGAGCAGAAACCATTGCTCCAAAGCAATGGCGCTCAGCGGGCTTGCAGGAGGCACGGCTCCACCCTGCCCTCGGCCACCTTCCAGCTCACCCTCAGCGACACGGACACATTGCCCCTACCCTGGGACGCAGTTTCGAGGTTTCGGCCCCTATTTGGGGCGCCGGTGGCGAGGTTGGGTTGGGAGGAGCCGCCCGTCCCCTCACGGCCCTGCCCGGCCCGGGTAAGATGGCGCCGGATACAGACGCAACCCACGGCGTTGCCATGGCAACCGCTGCACGGCGGGAGGGGCCCCGCGCCGTTGCTAGGAAACATGCGCGCAGGCGCGAAGGCGGCGCAAGGCGCGAGGCCGCGGTGCCTGAGGCGCGGCGCCGGCCTGGTATCGAGTGCTCCGCGCTCTCTGCGTCGCTTCCCCATGGAGCTGGAGGATGACTTCGGTGAGGCTCGGGGTGGGATCTTGCAGGGGGAAAGGGAAGGAGAAGGAAGAGGAAAGAAGGGGAAGGTGGCGGCCGTTCACTGTGTGCAGGCCCCAGCCTGGCCCGGCCCGGCCCGGCCCTGTGCGAGTAGCTCAGGGTTTGTCGCTGGGCTTTGTGTGGAGCCAAGTGGGTTGTTGATTATTTTAACTAGGGCAATCTTATATGTGGTTACCACTCTGGTAACCATATAATATTGGTGCTCCGTGCTTCAGGTGTGGACTTCAGGAAGTATCTGGACAAAGTGACTTAATTTGGTTGAAGCGTTGCTCCCGCCTGTACTGTGGTCTCTGCTGACTCCAGACACGTTTTGGGTGGATTTGGGTGTGCAGGCAGTAGGGTTAGGGACAGGTATCTCCTTCGAGCATGGTGTTGCTGTGGTGCTGGAGAGGCTCTGCTCCTTACAGCAGAGATACAATGTTAATTGTATCTCTTTACCTGATCAGGCCAGCTCCTGTGCTTGTTTTTGTGTCTGTTGTTTTACGTAATATGGTGAGAGCTTTCTTTTTCCTCTTGTCTCTATCTCCTTCCCTTTCCTGGTAGTGCAGTTGGTCTGATTTGTGTTGAGCTGCTTCAAGACAGAAACCACTTCTGATTGCTCTTCCAGGGACAGTGGAATCAGTACAAAGCTTGTCAGTCCTTCTGAGTGATGAAGACTTTAGCTTTCAGCTGTTCTCAGTGACCTAAAGTGACTAATAGAGGTGAGAGGTGCTCACAGGTAGCAGAACTGGCTGCAGCAGCACTGCACAGCTGAGATGGAAAGAAGGATTGGGTCTGTCCCTTCCTTTGTACTGGCTCAGGCTCACAACTTTATCTTGTGGCTCATAACAGAAAGTCTGCTTATTGTGACTGGTGAAACAGCATCTTCCTTGTCCATGGGAGAAGGGTTGGAACTAGATGACCTTTAAGGTCTCTTCCAACACAAACCATTCTGTGATCTTAACCAGTTGTCAGCCTGTAGGCTGATACAGCTCCCTGACCTGGCTGTTGAGACAACTGAGCACCAGTGCATGTGTAAGAGAAGGGGATGTGATGGCAGGGAAGAGGCTAAACAGCAGCAGGCCATACCTGGGTCTATTGAAGACACCAGGTGCGCAAATCCTAAGCGTGCTAAAAGCACTGCAAAAAGAGTGTCAGAGTGGCAGGTCTGTTTCCCTGGTGTGTGACCCTCAAGCAGACCCACAGGCAGCACAAGGCACCTGCGTTTCCTTCTGGTTGCCCCTCTTCCTCACTAAGAACATGGAAATGTGTTCTTTCCATAGATATATTCATACTTATATTTTAATATAAGTATTCAAGGCCAGGTTGGACAGGGCTTGGAGCAACCTGGTCTAGTGGAAGGTGCCCCTGTGCATGACAGGGGGTTGGAACTCAATGAACTTTAAGGTCTCAAATCATTCTAGGCTTCTGTGAATACATTTTATCTAAAGATAGATAAAAATCTGTATCATGTATGCCTGCACTCAGGCTGCTTCACTGTTCAGTGTCTGTGTTCTTAGGTATTTTAGCTGCTTTAGTAGCATTTTAGCTCCTAAATAATTGCCTGACTTCTGAAAAAGTTCCTTTACAAAGCCTGTACTCCACATAAGGCACACTGCTTCCTTGGAAATGAAACAAAATTTCCGGGTGTTCTTCATCCAGCAAAACTAGCTGTTGATCCAGAAAGAGTTGTTTCAGGCTGACGGTGCTCCTGGAGGGCATGTCGTCATTCTACTGATTCTCCTCTAAGATAGCTGGAAAAGTAGTGCTGTTTTCATTCACTTTAAGTGTGGTTACCTGCCTAATATGG